AAATATTCTTTACTTTTTACAAATATTAATGTTAAGAAACTTCAGCATAGTCTAAACCTATCACATTCAAAACTTGCCCAATCTTCAGGGAAGTTTATATTCAGATGTGAACTTCATAATTTAAGTTCCTATCTTGTGTGCATATGAGAGGAAAATATATCTTTAGATCCAAAAAAAAAGCTACATTCAGGATAGGAAACATCAAAGAAACCAAATAATGGTATCTATATCCTGTTAAGGTTTCTATTAAAAAAAATAAAGTCATACTTGCTTACCTGGACATACTTCATCTTCGATCTTCCAGTTTTCATCTTGCATAGTACACAAATACTGTGATGTCGTCCTTGGAAAGCGATGGTAGGCAAGACGTGAATACTTCTCTCGAATGAGTAGAGCTTTCACCAGGCTCTTGGCAGCCTGTTCATAATCATCAACTGTAACCTTAAAGGGAAGAAAAAAGAAGAATTAAAAATGGAACAGCTACAAGCATCAGTTTTTGTCACTAACTTTAACTCATTTCAGTAATAACAAGATAGTATTTCCAAAAGTATAAGTATGCCCAAGGTCATAAAGGAACTCAGAGACAACATCCTGAGTCAAAGTCCAATGCCTTAAACACGAGAGCATTCTTCCCCACCATAGGGAATACACTTGCAGAGGCACAAATTTGTGCCACTGCTTTGTGTCCCATCGCACGCTCCTGCGCATGCACTTTGGCATACAGCAAATTGCAGCGGGGCGCAGATCCGACATCACTGAGCCTTGCCAGAAGCCAAAGTGTTGCTCTGGACAGCCAGCCCTCCGTTTATTCTGGCACATGCTGCAGATGCATGCTCTCCACTGCTTTTTTCCCCCCAGAGTTTTTTTTTTCTTTTATATACCAGGCAAGGCACATTTTAATGTTCCAGGAGTGCAGTTTGTGGTGCCGCAAAGAGGTTTGTGACACCATAAACCGCACATGCCTGCATGTCTCAATGTGCCTATACATTTTTACATCTTCTATCTTCATATGCTAACACATCTTTAATGCCTTGTTACATTTTGTTTCTTTATTTACCAATTAATATATACACATATAAATGACTGAAAACACATTCTGCCTCATCACACCTGTATATCTCCAATAACTTCAGCAGGCACTGTACAATTGTATAATAATATGGGGTCATAATATACAATCATTCCACGGTTCATGGTCATGAGGGGGGGTTTTTCCGGAATAAAAACAGAAAAGATTTCTTACCCCTGCACAGTAATCCCCACTAATTGCAACTCTCTGAAATTCTGGTACATTGTATGGCACTGGGACTTGCTGAAAAGCACCTGGAACAACTGGAGTTGCAGGAGACAGAAATGAAGTGTTTGATGGTGCCTTTCCCTCTTGGTTTGGAATTTGTAATGACAAGGACTGGGACCGAATCATCTTGAAACTCTTCTTCCTAGGAATCCATGACATAAAAAAATAAGTATGTCAAAAACCAGATGATAACAAGGAAGTCTTTCATTCTAGGAAGCTTTCTATAGTGTGACAAATAGTTCTCGTTATTTGAAAACGTTCATTATAAAAATTAACAAGCTTTGAAATGTTTAGTCTGTTGATAATTCTGACATATGCAGCATGATACACACCATTGCAAGTACCATGCACTCAGCCACACACAATATGCTATTGCTGTTTGGAAAACTTATCATTTAAAGCTGGTGTAAAGATTTCTTTTTTGCATGTCTCACTGAAATTATGTCTGATAGTCACTGCAATGAGTAAAAAGGTGTCTGTTCTTGTTAGCAGGAATTGAAAGAGTTCTTCCTTAAAGACTTTCTTAAAGTATTTTATAGGAACTTAATAGTGACAAACAGAAAAGTAAATAGGTATATACTAGGAAAAGCAAATGATTATGTACTATCAAGTAATCACATAGGCTTTTTGATTCAAAGTAAAACCTGCAGGACTTAGAAATTGTCTAGTTGACAGAGACAAGACCTGTATTTCACTTAAAAAAAATATGTGTATTTCTTATGTGGTATATTGAAAGAAATAGGGGCTAACTCTATATAGGAAAATATAGCTTTAGCTGGCATAATTCATCAGGGCCTAGTTCTACTCAAGTCAAGAGTTTAGCCATTTGCTTCACTGTGGGGCCTTATACACTAAACAAAAATCTTGGTTTTTAATCACTAGTATATCTGTGTGAGGTTTACAGTATAAAATTAGTGAGAGTATCTCATAAAGGCAAATCTTATATTGTACATATAGCTAAATTAATCTGCTGTGTGACATTTTTGCAATGTATTATATTGCTGTACATTTGTAAAGTACTTAAAATAAAAAATTACTTGTTACTTATGCCATACTGACTACCATCTGTGCTTAAAACTAATTTCACTTCATAATTTTATAAGCAACATGCCAAACTTGTTTAATAACCTTAGAGAGAGATTTTGGCAGTCTTACAAATTTAGGTACCTATCACCACTGCCTAATAAAATGATCCTTGATAAAACTTGCCACTTGTTTCAAGAAACATAAGAGCTTCCTTCTTCCATTCAATGTCAATAAGAGCCCTTAGAGAGAAACTGGATTCTCAGGTCTTTCTATTAATTCCAAGATGGTTTTCTCCAGTTATGCTTAACATTTGCAATATAAATGCAGTACTGGCCAATTCAACAAACCTGGCTACATCAATAATGAAACTCATCTCTGGGTATGGCTCCACAGAAACTGGTATCAACAGAAATTACACTTGTATAACTGAAGGTAGAACTGGGCCCTACATATTTTACAGTCACTGAAGATAAGAATCATTATTAGTCCTATCCCCCATAAGCTATAGCATCCAACTTCCTACCATTAGACATGTACCAAAGCAGTGTGAGTGAAAATATTTTTATAAAACATTCTCCTACATTAAGAAATTAAAATTTGGTGTTTTTCTTCCCTATGAGAACAAATATGTACAAAATGGTTGTCTAAAAGTTAACTTTTTCTTTCTAAGCTCTTATTATTTATATGTTTATGCTAACTGGAGAACCCATTAATTTAAAGCTCTGTGAATCAACATCAAAATATCTCAACCAGTATCTAATCATTCTCTTCCTTTTCTCCCTTCATATGGCAAAATCAGCTTTCACACAAAATAAAAACTCCCACTGAGTATTTTTAAACTATCTTGTTATATGTTTTATAGATGATGATGACATTTAATAACCTGCTTTAAGTCAATTACATTTTTTCGCTTCTCTGTCAGTGATAAATGTCAAGTCTTTGCTGGCATTTTTTTTTTTTTTTTTCAGAGGATATACAACCATTTGAAACTGCTGTCTATTTTTATATATGTTAAAACACTCACCACTGTCTTCTGAAAACATTATTTTCATTCTCACAAAAGCAACTTCCTTAGCTATGATGCTGATTATTTATACTGAGAGAATATCAGACTGCATTTATATCTCAGTTCCTATGCTGTTTGGTAGGTCTGCCTACTGGGCATACCAGTTGGATTGCTAGAAGCACAATTCAGGGTTTGCCTCTCAATCCAGGCTCTTTCTATAACTCCTTAGGTCATACCCAGATAATCTGCAACAGGGACTGTAAAGGCATTACAAAGCCTGGCCAATAGCCAACACATGTCCTACATCTCAATGCACCTACACTCACTGATCCTGAAATAGACTCATTGTGCAGTACTGGCACATAATGTTTCCATCCCAAGTGGACCAAACATGGTGGGACTGATGGGCACCTGCAACAGTCTTTGATTTTTACAAAGTGGTACAAATGGTGATCACCTCTCAGAAGGTCTTAAAGTTTTATTGTGCCCTACTCAGAACATGACCAAGCCAATCCAGAACTGCTTTACACTGTATGCATATCCTTTCTGGTTATGGTGTGTGTTGCAGTTTGCCCTTTGGTCTCCATTCATGCTCCTTTGGTAGTTATTTGTGTTCTGTAATACGTATTTATAGGATAAGGAATCTTTTGAAAGGTCACTTGCTAGCAATACCACAATTATAAAGGTGTTGCTTTAACAACCCAACAGTACAAGGGCCTGTAAAGAGCTTGAAAGCAATAAAGAGCTGAAGATGGGAATAAAATAGAGACAATACATATTTAATTCATACCTCGAGATACAGATGTATAGTAAAACATTATGTTGTTCTGAAGCACACAATACAGGCTGCTGACAAGTATCTCTTTTGTTTCACTTCTGCACTGAAATATCATGGATGGTAACCATGATATGTGTGATGTGTGTCTGTGCCATTTATGAAAACAGTGACTACTGAACAAACCTTTTGGCTGTCTCCAGAGACTGTTGTTCTGCCAACTCCTTCTGCAGTTCTCTTTCCTTAGCCTCTGTCTGCCCAATAGGACAGTCTTCAGGCACACTGAACAGTGACAAGGCATCTTTGCTGTCTTCTTCTCGGAGAACTTTAGCAAACACCTTCTCCGCCAGAAGCCGCACCTGTTCATCAACTTCAGAAATGTTCAGCTTTGGAAATTGTCGAGGCATCTCGCCTAAAAAATAAGTCAAAGAATTATAACTAAAAGTTGCAAAAAACACTAACTTTTCACAGCACTTGTATTGAAATTAAGGTCAATGTAAAGAGTGACCAGGGTTTGTACACAAGAAAAAAAGGGAAGTCATTGGACAGCTTTATCTGGCAGCTCAGAACTAACTTGTGAATTATAAATGTGGTGAATTCCCTCTATTTGCATGACTTTGTTACTTTCCAAGGGAAGTATGTTTTCCAAGGTTTAAGTTCAACGACAAACAAATATCATAGGCCTATGTGAAACTGAATGGAAGATCATTTTCTTGTGCCTTACACATGGCAGAACTTAAGATTTCTACTGTTAAGTAATTCTCTGTCCTGAAAACTCGCCAAGTGTAAAATATCATCATCTATTTATCTTCTGGATTATTCTTAGAAGAATATAGAGAAGGCAAGTATCATTATGAATAAAGATGTTTATTTATATTTTCCCATGTGATTCAGGTACACTATGTGGCATATTACTGAGCATTCTCAAATTTATGTAGTAAACTTATTGAAACTAGGAACTAGAAATGAGACAGGTTTTTTTAGCAGTGTCATGCATACTCAGCAGAGTAAATTATATGTATTCGTTCTGAACAGGAAGTTAACAGATTACAGAGTTGTACTAGTGCAGACTTGCTTTTTATTTACCTCCTTGTCTGTAAACAAATTCTAAAGCATAGACAAGTTGAAAAATGGTTTAAATGCCTCTCTTGTTCATCCCTTGTTTACTATACATAAAGTAGTAATAGAGATGCTGTTCAGTGGAAGCAGCTATGTGGTAGGAGTTAAAATACTATTCATCTCAGTGAAGGTTTTTAATTTTTTTAACGGCTCATATCCTGCAATTATGCTACACATCAGGAGGAGGCAGGGTATGGACTGTAGGGTTTTTTTAATTATTGCTTTTAATGTTATGCTTACAACTCAACATCCCTATTTAAGTGGTCTTCAATTATTATAACATTTTGATTTTATTAAGGCTGTACTACAATAGATAGTATCTTTATTCTGCAACTCTATAAATTCACTGGCTTATGTATTACTCATTCAAATATATTATACTAATCTGGAACTCGACAGTAATTCAAAGGGAAAAAACCAACTGTATGCAAACTATTGCCCAACAGCACTTAACATATTTCCCTAAAAAGTATTTTTAAATTCCTTGATAGGTGATGTGACAAACCAGATTCCATTCTGATTACATATGTTAAAAATAGAGCTGAGCAGGAACTAAAAAAATTGATTCAAGTACTGCCAAACTTTAGGAAAGTTCAGATATGAACCCTGCATTTTAGAATTCTTTCTGATTTAAAAAATATTATCATCTAAATCTATATTTGGTTACTGTTTGTTATATACTTAAATCTAGCATGGATCATGACAACTATCTACCCACAATCCATGATTTCTCAGCCCTCGCATTACAATATTTCTGAAAGCATGATGCAGGCATTCAGATATTTATATGTAATCCATTTGATATGTGATCTTGTTGTTCTCAGTCTAAAAGGTTCTTCCAATAAAACATCCACCTGTTTTCAGAGTTGTTTTGAAAATAATGTTTGCTTTTAGTCTTATTCTTAAAAAAATGATGTACTAAGAATATATTACAATAATAAGATATAACTTGTAAATGATTTACAGGATATCGTTATTCTTCTTTTGAGTTAAAGTCACTAGAAAGACTGCTACATCCAGTGAACTGTGGATCTGATCCTTTGTCAATGCTCTTTTCCTTATGTCTAGCAGCACTGTATGGTTACCAAATATTAAACCTTCACAAAATCAGGTATAATCAGTAACAACTTTTATAACAGGTAGCCTAGTATTTAAATGACAGTACAACATACTGTCTTAGAAGCATCTGAACTCAGTTCAGCTTCTTGTTTTCAAACCTCAGTGAAGCCATGGGAGTCTTTCAACTGACCTCAGTAGACACAGTTGTCAGCAACAGTTACTGACACATTTATGTGCCAGCAATAAGGTCTTCCTAAGCAGCCTCAGCTGGTGTTGAAAACAGGTTTTACAGCTAGTAAATCAGCTCCATTCAGGGTGTGAGCAATCCTCGCCGAAAATGATTTTGTCTCGTATAAAGTCACTACCTGAAGAAGACAAGGGAGGACCTAGAGCTGAATAATAATTAATGTCCGATCACTCTCCCAGTGAATCATGGTCTTTGTTGCAGCCTCAGCTGGTGTTGAAAACAGGTTTTACAGCTAGTAAATCAGCTCCATTCACGGTGTGAGCAATCCTAGCCGAAAATGATTTTATCTCGTAGAAAGTCACTAGCTGAAGAAGACAAGGGAGGACCTACAGCTAAATAATAATTAATGTCCGATCACTCTCCCAGTGAATCATGGTCTTTGTTGCAAAACTGTGTTAAAGTGAAATTCAGTAGGAAACGTTTTCCAGAATAAACTATTTTATAGTACTTTGTTACTCAGCATGCATCAGGTATACAAGTGTGAGAGGGAAGGACTTATTAAGGGTGATACCTTTTACTGGACCAGTTATGTGGTTGGGATAAAATTAGACAAGCTTTCAAATGCAAGCCATTCTTCCTTGGGTCAGGTGAGGAAGACTGACCTGAGGAAGCTTGTCATACATTCGAAAGCATTGTCCAACTTTATCCCAACTACACAGTTGGTCTAAGAACAGATCTGGCCCTACAAAATAATTTCTGGACCACCATGGCTGCTCCGTCACTCTTACGCTTTGGGTATCTGAAGTGACTTCAAGTCACTAAATCATAGCAACAATGATGTAATGAAATGTCAGAAGTTACAGATATGGCCAGCCAATATTTTGTGCTGATGCTAACGGGCATCTCTCAGGACCTGCTCCTGCATTCCCCACTCAGGCGAATGGGAGATTCACGTGGGGGACGTTGCCAAGGCAGGGTCATCTTCTTCACGGTAAAAGTTCAGTTTACATCACTGAGGGAGATGGAGTCAACATAAAGATATATATCCAAGGCACACTTCATACAGTATTCATGCAAATACCAGTAGTAGTCTCCTCAGGCGGGGCGGGTGACGGGTTCAGGTCTCCGCATTCATGGGAGATTTATAAAACCGGTTGCAAGAGGGGCTGTTTCCCAAACCTCTAGCCACTGGGGTAGCACTTCTCAGCCTTTTTTTTGTTTGTTTGTTTTAGATGCCAGGTGCCCGCGAGAGACCCCTGGCACTGGGGGAGAGGGGGTGGGGGAAAGGCCAGCTCTTGGTTTATGCTCATTTCTTGAGTGCGGGCGCAATTCTTTGGTGGCAAAGGACTCAGGCAGGGCAGGAGCCTGTTTGCCAGCCCCCCGCGGCCCTACACTGCGCAGCACCCCTGAAAGGCTCTCGAGAGCCCAGCTGGCTGGGAATCACGGGGCGGGGGCAGCCACGTCCCCAGGGAGGAAACGGGGCTGGGAAAGGGGTTCTCAGTCGGCAGTCAGAGGAGCGGGGGCACTGGGCAAGAGAGGCTTGAGGGGCCGCCTGCGCGCTGGGACTTACCGAGAGCCATGCCGGGCAGGCAGGGCAGGAGGCTGAGGAGCGGCAGGGGGGGGGGCGCGCCCCCGCGACGGCACCGC